AAACACTTTGAGCTAAAGCTGCAAAATATGGTTCTGGAAGTTAGCCAGGGCAGCCTTTCACTAAACAGAAAGTTTTTCTTCTGACAGTTTTCCTTGTGTTTAAGGGAAGAAGTCTAGGGGTTTCAATGACTTGTACATAGCAAGTGTAGAGACGCAGACATTTGTGCTCATCCACAGAGGTAATCAGTTTGAATAGGATCAGCAACCTTCTGCTAGGCTGAGTTGATGTTCATGTTGGCCCTTGGGCGGACCATGAAAAGGGTACTAATTACTAAGGGTGCCTGTGTCACCCCAATGCAAAGTACTTTATATACTTGCTCTCATCTGATTCTCCAAAAACCCCTCTGAGAATAGGTATTTATTATTCTTGTCCCCATTTTACTGAAGAGATTGAGCCTCAGGGAGGATCATCCAGCCCCTAAGGAATAGAGCCACTACTTTGAATTAACTATCTTGTCTATCTCACTCAGAAGCACTCTTAACCTTGACAATGATGTCATGGTACCAACAGTCAAGAAGCTTCAGGCATTCGTGCCCACCTTCCTGACTTCAGCTTCTAGGGAAGTTCAACAAAACAAAGCATCCTAAACCTCACTGTCATTTGGGAGCTGGGCACTTACATACTTTATTTAAGCATGTGAGGAGAGCGTGTGATCAGAGAAAAGCACTGTTCTAGGTTCTGTTGGAAGAGAACTGCCTCTAACATATGGACAGCCCAGTTGGAGAAACAGGCTCATGTGCAGATATTAGAAGGGAAAGTCATTTCTTTTCAAGGTTGCAAGCTGCAACATTTGTGGTCAGATGAATGGTCACATGCTATTGCTATTACAGTCTGTATTGTGACATTCCCCATAGATCTGAGAGTAGAAAAGCAGGATGGATGAAGACATTTCTTTTACATGCTGGCCCTGACATGGTGGAATATCTTTTATTGTTGAGCAAAAAATATTTATGTAAAACCTCTTTAAGTAGTGTTGAATTTGTTTTAAAAAACCTGTGTAAAATACCAAATTCCTAAATGCTCTGCTCCATGTCTCATGGGTTCTCCTTCATGCTTCTTTCTTGGTGGCTCTTGCAGCAATGAGGCTGCCCACTTCTGGTGGCTTTGTAGAGTTGTCTTATCTACTTTTTACCCCAACTTAATGGGATAGATACAGTTATGCTCCTTTATAGCTGAGGACACCAAGGCTTAGAGAAGACAAGCAATTTGCTCAAAGTCACACAGCTAATAAGTGGCAGACCATGGATTCAAGCCTACACGCTGGTATCAAAGCCCATGTCCTTAACTTCCATTTGCTACTGAAAACAATCCTTCCATGGGTGTGATATAATCCAGTATCTGCACACACCTTCTTGATAAGTATTAGGCAACTTTACTGAGAGACTACCATTTATTTATGTTGAGACAGCCTTAATTTTTAGGTCTTCACATTCAGTCCAAACCAATACCAAAAATAAAGCTCTTTGATTAAAAAAAAAAGTTAATCAGTTTTTCCCTACCAGCTAACACTTAAGTAATAAATACTTGTTCTCACTGATTTCTCTACCTCTATTTTTCATTCCAATATAATAGACTCAGTATAGATGCTTCTATTGAATTTCTGTTTTATATGTCAGAATTTTGAGGCCTGAAAGGGGAGAAGTCATTTTTCCTCCTGCTTCTATCTAGGGGGATTTGCTGAAAAAAGGATCGAGAACGCCAAAGGTCTCAAAAGTGGAGCTGAGAAAGTCAGTATTGGAGGGAGATGTCTGTGGCCATGCCCTTCATAAGAAAGGAGATTAGGAGCCCAAAACATTAGTTCTTATTCATAGATTCTTTGAGACTGAAGGTAAGACCCTTCCCTTGATTTGTCAGTCATGAAGTATGGACAGGAATCAGGAAGTACATTAAAGCAGGTTGTCATGTTGCTGGCAGGACCTGGAAAGAAGTGGATGGAGGGTCGACAAACTATGTCATCCCTCCTACAGATCTGGGAGAAAGGCTGCCTGTGGCCACAACCATCCAAATGGCATGAAAACAAGGGGGGTCTCCGTGACAGGCAGCATTCACAATCGGCTTAGAGGCTCATTTCCAACACCAACCACTGGGTTCTGGAATTTTTTTCTGAGGCTGTGTGGGCTTCTTAGAGAAATGTTACAGTGAAGAGACACCAGGTGGTACCCAGGATGATATTCACTGGTGATTCATCCCTCTTCCGATCCTGGCTGCCTTTTGCTCAGTTGAGAGAATGGATGTTGCTAGATGGGATTAAACGGCCCTCTCGTGAACTCCCTCACTTCCTCCTATCCCAGAGAAACTCAGCTTGGATGAGGCCCAGTTATACCCAATGGTGTAAAGGAACCTTTGTTACTTTCTGTAGGAAGTATGCTGACTGAGGCCATTTCCTCTTGCGGGTGAGTTTTCATTCATGTCTCTCATGCCGTCTGAGGCCACAGTGGCTAACACCACTCTCCATGAGGCATCCGTGGTCTATAGGACACCAGCCAGGTGCATGATGTGCCCTGGCCTACGTGTGCAAATTGTGTTCATCCTAGTCGCATGTGATGCCCCCTTCCTGCCCCCTGAATGAGAGCTGCCAGCTCTTGGAGATGCACCCCACCTACCCCAGGATGCTGTCCCAACCACTTGAAAGCATGGGAATACTGAGCCCTCCATCCCACCGTCCTGTTGTGGTGTGCGTTCACAACTATTCTTATCAGGCTAGTTTCCTTCTCATTCTTTTCTGCCTTTGCTTTAGGAAGCAGCAAACATGATTCCCTTCACTTGAGCAGGTGCTGTTACCTCGCCCTCCTTCCTCACTGCACTTTGAGTTGCTGTATCACCTGTTGTATTTTGGCTTTTCACTACTGCTGGTCCTTCCAGCATCTTTAGCCCCATTTTTGGTACATTCTTTTCAGTTCTTATTCCTCTGTCCCATTCATCCAAGGAAGCAGCTAAAAAACCATCTAGACATTGCCACAGCCCCAACAATGTGTGAGCTTTGTCAGACATGAACAGTTCCAATTTCCACTCTAAAAATAAAATAAAGAATATGTTTGTATTTATGTATACCTGATTCCACAAGAGGTAGGGTAAAAAATAATCACATCTGCCCCAAGCAGATGTTTGACCATTTGGAAGTGATACATGAAAATGTGTATCCATATCTGGAGAGTTTGCATCTAAAAAGACAGACCCATAAAGTTGCAGTTGAATATCTTTCCTGTGTAGAATAAGGTCTGCACCCAACTTTGCAAACACAGAGCTGCCCACGTTCTGTTTCCTGAGCAAAGAATAGAGAATGCCAGCTACTTATGCTACTGCTTTACCTCAGGGGAGGAGTAGAGGCTACAAAAAAAATTAGTTGGTTGATATAATTCATCAACTTACTATAAGATTTTACACACACGCTTGTGCATGTATTATGTGTAAAACCACCATGAACATGTGTTTAATACTTATGAAGGTATTTAGATCATTTAGGAATTCCAAGCTTGTGCAATGTCATATATATAGTAGACTACTGTTCTTAAAATACCCCCCAAAAAATTATATTCCACTGAAGCAATTCCCAGAAGTCATTAAAAACACTTTCTTGTTATTTACACAAAACTCAATTTCTTATTGAAGTGCTTGCACCTTTTGTCATGTAGCTACAAAATCCAGAGTAGGCAAGTTTTTGCAGAAACTTAAGGATGAGGTGATTTTTCTCCCAAAGGCATAATTTTATATCAGTATGTTAAAATAGCTTTAGTAAAATTTTAGGCACATGGAAAAAGAATATGTATATAGATACAGATACAGATATATGTATATTTTTATAATCTATAATGTATAGCATAAATATAAAATAGAAGAATATTTCTTATTGTCTTTTAAGCTAGTTCCTTCATCTTGCACACAAAACCCATCAATTACTAGTTGATTCATATGTGGGTTTTCATTGGCTTCCCAAGTTAATGAGCCATGGAGGCTTTCTGCAGAATCAGAGGAATATCTCTGGAGTCTAATTAATTTCTTGAGGTTTATTGGGAGAGTGTTGTTATGACCGGGAAAAATATTTTTAACCTACTCACAGTGTTGCTTAAAACAATCTGGAATTTTCAGACTAACGAGAATTAAAGTTTCTATTTTAGAATGGAACTAAGGAAACAGAAATGGTGCATCCTGCCCTCCTCTCTTCCCCAACCCAGGCTGACTCAGCATCCCCAAATGATTCAGTACAGCATTGCTTTCTGCCAGTAGTGTCCATGACAGTAGGTCCTTTGGCCATCCGCGCACAAGAGGGGCTGCTGACAGCCCCTCCTCGCTGCAGTCGAAGGAGCCACAGGCGATGCCTCAATCTGGGACAGGGGCTGTTTTGTCACCTGCCTGACTCAGGTGGCTTCCCTCTTCCTCCCCGAGCACTCCACACCTTTTTCAGCTCTTGTCAGCAGGCTGCACTCATGGTATTCAGTGTTTTCTATCTAAAATATGAAACAAAAGTGAACACGGAGTTCAGAACCTGGTTTTGCATTTTGGGTTTCCCCAGATGGCCTTAATCTCTAGGAAGTGGTTCTGTTGGAGAGGAGCTGGGAAATGAATTCCTGGGTCTGCTGTTCCATGCCAAAGACTTCCGGTCTACAAGGACTTTCGGTCTTCAAGCCCCACTGTGCCTGGACATTGTCCTTGTTAGGCTCTTTCCCTTACAGTGTCACCTCTGTATGAACTATAGGGCTAGGCTAGACCTGGTGTGAACTTGCCAACTGCTCTGTTTCATCGGATGTTAAAATAACTGTGTCCTGTTCTGTAATGCAGGGCACATCCTACCCCCAGTAGAATAATATATTTTAAGTGATTTCTGAAAATGGGCCGTAAAAGCTGTCTGCCACATGGCCCATGTTTGCACATCTCTATATAGTTACGATTGCAGAATTTGACAGTATAACTCTGAATCTGATTAATTAAGAATGTGTAAAAACAAAGTTCTTGCATTGCAGCTCGGTTCCTTATCTTTGTGTCTTTTACTGTGATGTTGTAGAACTTGGATCATATGGAAAACTAAAATATTATGACACAATGACTGAAGAAGGTAAGCATGATTTTAGAATTGTATGCATTGGCTTTTTTTTTTTCATTTATGGTGTCTGGTGCTTGCCCATTTTTTTCAAATCTTTTTTTCTTTTCCTCTTTGCATGATTTCAGTGACATCACGTGATTTATTATTCTTTCCACATTTTTGTCTAGTTTTTACCATCGTGTTTATTTGGGATTGGAGATGTGCAATACCATGGGTAATCATGTTATTCCATTCAGATGCTCCAAACCATGTCAGCTGTGTAACACACACAGAGAAATGGTGTCAGCAATGTAAGCCCAAGCACACACCCACCGTGTCAGCATTATTTCCCCCACGTACGCACAACACATAGAAACACATCCGATCAACATTCTTAATATGCCCTGAATTTCAGAGGGGGTGGATGTTCCAATTTATGCCAAGGAAAGAGTGATCTCAAGTAACTCCTCAACCCTAAACCAGCTAGAGACCCGTTTCTGATGCAGATGGCTGTGAGCGCATGTCCTAAGCCCCCACAGTCCCTGCTCACTCATTCAAGAGCATTACTCGGAGAAGCCAGGGCCACAGCTCCAGCCAGTGGAACTGAATTCACTGGGGTTCATACTCCGTGAGACTGAGCATATCTTTGTAACCATTTCCCCTGAGCGAATGAAGTCTGGCAGAGATTTATCTTTAAATGAATTTACTGATGAACTCCAGGCACTATTCCTAGAGCACAACCTTGACCCAATGAGAATCACTTCTCTGAAATAAGTTCACCATGCAGGAGTAATAAGAAAGTTTTACTGTTGTCAAAGGAGTTATCCTGCTTCCCTCGTTTCACCCCACAATTACCTCTGGCTTTGGAATAATAAATAATATTTACAAGTTAGGAAGCATTTGGGGGTTTTACATGAGCCTTACATTGAGACTGACAAGTAATCAAAAGGTAGTCCAGAAGAGGAATCAGCTAATTTTGGCTTTCAACCTGAGAGAAACTCCCAAATGTGTTACGTATCTTGTTTCCAGCTTCTAGTATTTGTAAGTTGCCTTAGCTTGCCAGAGATCTCCTAGTTGCTTTGCCTCAAAGAAGTGGAACATCTGATAGTCCCTGGTAACAGGAAGCTCCTTCTCTGCCTCCCTGCCCCGCCCCCCCAACTCTGGCTTCTGTACAGCACCCAGGCTGTTCCTGCACTTCCTGTTAACCACTGTGGCATTTTCTAAAGCAGCAGCCCCCTATTAGGATCTCATACTGGGCCTGGGAATGAGATCCTAGCAACCTGGGGAAATTAGAGTACCAGGGACAGAAAGCTACCTATAAGAATAAGTGGCCTACCACCAAGAGGTTAGAAAGAGTGATCCAGGCCTTAAAGGAAGGCTCCTGTCCCAGCTATTATTTTTATTCCATGTCTTCAGACCACTTGGATTTTTATTGGCAATTGGCTTGAGAAGCCAAAGCTTTGGGACTCCCCTCCGGACATCTCCCTGGCCCCCAGCCTCAATTTCTTGGCTCCGGCAACAGGTGGGTTTGTTAGCTTCTCCCTGCCCTGTAACGACTGTCCACTCTCTCTTTCCTCCTTCCTGTCTTCTGCCGTCCACCCTTCACTTCCCATTGTCAGTGAAGCTTCTGCCTTGCCCTTGCCTCAGTTCCCCATTTGTCACCAACTCTGTTCCTTTCCTTCTTCTTTCCACATCCATTAGAGCAAGTGTTGGTGTCCTAGCACTCCCTTTCTCAGCCTCCCTAAACCAGACAACTCAAGATCACATCAAGATGCAAAAATAGCACTTCCGGTCACATGAATCCACCTGATAACACGTGGGCTTTCTAGGCAGGAAGACAATGTCAAACTCATGCTGGCCCTTAGCAGGACTGTGAAGTTGTGTTTGGGGGTCCTTATGGGCCACCTTTAATATTTCTTACAACTTCTCTTCACTTTCCCTTCCCTTCTTGAATTTTTCTTTGTGTCCGGTTCTTTGCTGAACTTTCATCCCTAGAACAATAACAGCTAATAGTGGCTCAGGCAGCATTTTTAAAGTGTGTCCTATGATATACTCGTTTCATATGATGTCAGTAGGAATTTTGCAACAACCCAGAGAAAAAGAAGGTAAGATCGATTTCATAGTTTAATAAGTGGAAGAACTTCTGAGTTTTCTTTACCACGTGACTTGTCAGAGGCTTCAATATGCTACTGTGCATTGCAGCATCGAGTAAATCATATACAGGGATGAAGTTTGCAGTGTTACCCAGACTTCTTTGATGAGAAAACTCTTTCTTCCATGGATCTTCTTGCAGGACTGTTTGAGAAATGCTGATTAAGGTGCTATCCTTCACTGGGAACAGGAGCCTCTGAAAGATTAACAAGGGTTCTAAACACATAGCCATCCCTCTCCAGTACTCACAGAAAGGACACTTTGGAACAGGTTTTCCTCTAGCCACATCACTCCACACCTTCACCTCCATGACAAGCCAGACCTGGCTTAAAGCTAATTCTGGGATTCCATCTAAAAGATTCAAAGCCAGCTCAGTACCTTCAGACCAGGCAACAGCTACCTGTGACTTCTTTGAACTCTGGAAAGCCTCTCCCCTCCCACTGAAAATAAGAACTGTGCTTTGTGCCGCTCCCATTTGTACGACAGAAGGAAGTGTCATAAAGATGAAGCTGTTTGGGGCAAGCACTGTGGGCTCCCTAGGAAAATACCCCTCTCCATTTGAAGCATTTCTTTTCACTCTTTAAGAAATGTGGCTTGAGCAGGGCTTTATTGTAATTGCCCACATGACTAGTTATTATTTGTAACTATTTCCAGGAAATCCTCTGGATGTTACGTGAGGTCAGCTACTTTAATTGAGGGCCTGTTTTCCCGCTCAAGGGGAGCAAATAGAAATATGGATTATATATGCTACCCCATATCTTAAGGGGAATTGAGCAGTGATTTCCTAAATATAGAGAATTGTCTTGCACATATTCAGCTCATTATTTAAGCCCCTGCTGTATACAAATTATTTTGCTAGGTGCTTTGGGGAAATACAAGATTAAAAGGTGAGCAATTTGCCCCCTGTGGAACTTATAGACAGGGAGAAAAAAAACCACAGTAACCACTGAGCCACCAGGAAGAAAGTGGTAAGTACCATAGGTGTTTGGAAGAAAACGGCAGGCTACAGAAGGAGGAAGGATTGCTTTCAACCAAGATCTTTGGAGCCCAAAGATCAGTAAATGTGGGATAAACTGGGGAAGGAAGGGTGGTGGGTTCTGACCTACCAGGCTGGGAATAGAATCAAAGGACAGGGGCACACCAACCTTTACTGGGTGCCTCCCACATGCCAAGTGCAGTGGACGTCATTTAATCCTTATAATGATCACACAAGGTGGATTTTTTGAAGATGAGAAAGCCCAAGTTCAAAGTGTTTTATTAGATGAGAAAACTAAGACTCAGAGAAGTAAAGTATCTTGCTCTGGGACTCAGGGGTACTAACGGTGAATTGGGGCCCAAAGTCAGAACCGCGGCACACCCAATCCCTGCCCTCTTGGTACTGCTGTACAAGTTTGATGTACAAGATGGGGGTGAGGAAATGGACAGGTCAAATTGGTGTCAGTATAGGGAGTGGAAAGAAATGCTTGATGGAGACCAATCATGGGAAAGGTTTAAACCACAGACTTAGAATGAGAGCATTGCAGAGTGAACAACAATGAGCTACTGAATAAAACATGAACCCCTCACCAGACAAAGGTTATTTTAATAAACAATATACTCAATCTCAGACACTGGACAAAATGATGATATTTTGACAAAAAGTGTCCTTGCCCTCAGAGCCCTTTCCCTCCCTCCCTCATCTTCAGGTGCCTTAGAACCTAAACTGGAAGAGCTCCCTGGGCCACACCCACCCTTCTCCTCACCCCAAGCTAATCAGAATTTCATTCATTCATTCATTCATTCATTCTCTAGTACATTCACTCAACAACACTCAGTATGTACCAGGGATTGGACCAGGTTCAAGACTGATTGAAGACAGTCCTTCTCCTAAAGAATTCCCAGACTAGTGGGGGACACAGGCAAAGACATGAGTAGTATGATGGACAGACCCAAGGTGCAGGGGGAGTCCACTGGAAGGCATCATATTCAGCCTTGGAAAATGAGGACAGTCTTCTCAGAGAGGTGATGTCTCCATTGCCTCATTCCTGCATCCCAAGATGACAATACCTATTGGCCACCTGATACTAATGTGTACACTTAATGATAACTGAGAACCTGCTCTATACGACACATTTTACTAGACTTGATAGGCTAATAAGGCCTACTCCTCCCAAGCACTGAATTTCCTTCTATAATAAGTTGCTTCCAGGGATGCGAACAAATTACTCTAGAGGTGGCCTTTTGGTGACCTCAGACCCCTCTACATGGGTAGCCATCCTTTTATCTCCTCCTGCAGTAATACTGCATATTCTTGGAAGAGCGATATCCAGTTTTTACTTGGAGCTAATAACCCATAGTAGTGTATTTCTCATCTGCAGATATCCAAATTACATACCATTCTTTTTCTGGAAAATTCTCAAAAAAAATTGAACTTTGCTTTTTTTACTAAAATTAAGTGAAAATGTAGAAAGCTAGTTCAAAAGAAAACTAACTTGTGTGATAGAACAGGTGAATTAAAAGGAGAAGAGACCTTGCCACCAATTATATTACATGGAACTAACTTTTACTCTTTGGAGATAAACATTCATAGAGACATGTAGATACGTAGATAGACAGAATATCCTGACTAATATCTTGCAAAGAAGCAATGTATGGGAAAGCAACCTGCAATATACTGTCCTAAACTTACCGCCACTTAACAGTAGCCATTTCCAAGAAAAATAATTTCTTTATCATTTAAAAAGCCTTGTTCATTTGTATAAGAAAAGATATAAAAAGTTGTTGTAATGTCAAGGGCAATAATTACAATTATCTTTTCCTTAATGAAATTAAAGATAGTGCTTCATGGCAAATAATAGCCCCTTCACCAAACTGAAAAGCTAATGTCTTAACCTGAATGATGG